TATTTCCTTACTTGTGATTGGCCTATTCAGATTCTCCATTTCTTCCTGATTCAGTTTGGGGAGATTGTAGGAGTCTAGGAATTTGTCCATTTCTTCCAGGTTGTTCAATTTGTTGGCATATAGTTTTTCATAGTATTCTCTTATGATCCCTTGTATTTCATTGGTATCTGTTGTGATTTCTCCTCTCTCATTCCTAATTTTATTTATTTGCAATTTCTCTCTTCTTTTCTTGGTGAGTCTGGCTAAAGGTTTGTCGATTTTGTTAATTTTTTCAAAGAACCAACTCTTTGTTTCATTGTTCCTTTCTATTGTCTTTTTTGTTTCAATATCATTTATTTCTGCTCTTATTTTTATTATTTCCCTCCTTCTACTGACTCTGGGCTTTGTTTGTTCTTCTTTTTCTAGTTCTGTTAGGTGTCGTTTGAGGTTGCTTATGTGAGCTTTTTCTTGTTTAGTGAGGTGAGCCTGTATTGCGATGAATTTCCCTCTTAGGACTGCTTTTGCTGCATCCCAAATGATTTGGTATGTCGTGTTCTCATTTTCATTAGTCTCCAGATAAAATTTGATTTCTTCTTTAATTTCTTCAATGATCCATTGTTTGTTCAGAAGCGTGTTGTTTAGTCTCCACATTTTTGCACCTTTCTCTGCTTTTTTCTTGTAGTTGATTTCTAGTTTAATAGCATTATGATCAGAAAAGATGCTTGATATTATTTCAACTCTCTTGTATTTATTGATGCTTGCTTTGTTTCCCAAAATATGGTCAATCCTTGAGAATGTTCCATGTGCACTTGAGAAGAATGTGTAACCTGCTGTTTTTGGATGAAGTGTTCTATATATATCTATTAAGTCCATCTGGTCTAATTTTTCATTTAATTCTATTATTTCCTTGTTGATTTTCTGTCTGGATGTTCTGTCCATTGGTGTTAACGGTGTGTTGAGGTCCCCTACTATTATTGTATGGTTGTTGCTGTCTTCTTTTAGTTCTATTAAGAGTTGCTTTACAAATTTTGGTGTTCCTGTGTTGGGTGCGTATATATTTATAAGTGTTATGTCTTCTTGGTGGAGAGTCCCTTTTATCATTATATACTGTCCCTCTTTGTCTTTCTTTATCTGTTTTGCTTTGAAATCTACCTTGTCTGATATTAGTATAGCGACACCTGCCTTCTTTTGTTCATTATTAGCTTGGAGTATTGTTCTCCATCCCTTCACTCTGAGTCTGTGTTTGTCTTTGGGGCTGAGGTGTGTTTCCTGGAGGCAGCATATTGTTGGGTCTTGTTCTTTGATCCATCCTGCCACTCTGTGTCTTTTGATTGGGGAGTTCAATCCATTTACATTTAGAGTGATTATTGAGATGTGGGGGCCTACCACTACCATTTTATGTCTTGTTTTCCGGTTTCTTCAATTTCCTTTGTTTCTCGTCCCATGGTTTAATCTGTTCTGATGAAGAGCTGCTACTCTCTGTTGTTGTCCTTCTACTTATCTCCTCTGCTCTTGGTTTTGTAGCCCCTTTCCTTTTTTGGATTTTTCAGGAATGAGGGTTTTCCTGAGGATTTCCTGTAGAGGAGGTTTTGTGGCAATGAACTCCCTTAATTTTTGTTTATCTGGGAAAGTTTTTATTTCTCCATCTTATTTGAAGGATATTTTCACTGGGTAGAGAATTCTCGGCTGTAGGTTTTTGTCCTTCACATTTTTGAATATATCATTCCACTCTCTTCTAGCCTGTAAAGTTTCTGCTGAGAAATCTGCTGATAGCCTGATGGGGGTTCCTTTGTAGGTTAGTTTCTTTTGCCTGGCTGTCCTTAGTATTTTCTCCTTGTCGTTGACTTTTGCTAGCTTCACTACTATATGCCGTGGGGTTGGTCTTCTTGCATTGATAAAGTTTGGAGATCTATTGGCTTCTGTCACCTGAAGATCCATCTCTCTCACCAGATTTGGGAAGTTCTCAGCCATTATTTCTTTGAATAGGCTTTCTGCCCCTTTCTCCTTCTCTTCTCCCTCTGGTATACCTGTAATCCTTATGTTGCATCTCCTAATTGTGTCTGATAATTCTCGGAGAGTTTCTTCATTTCTTTTTAGTCTTACTTCTCTCTCCTCCTCTGCCTGCAGCATTTCTATATTGCCATCTTCCAAATTGCTAATTCTTTCCTCCATATTATCGGCCCTACCGTTCAGTACATCTAGATTTTTCTTAATCTCCTCTATTGTGTTCTTCATTTCCAGTATTTCTGTTTGGTTCTTCTTTAGCGTATCAAACTCTTTTGTGACATAGCTCCTGAACTCGTTGTCTATCTGAATTCCCTCTTAACTCATTGAGTATTTTAATGATGGCTGTTTTGAAGTCATCGTCATTTAGGTTATATATCTCATTTTCTTTGGGATTGTTTTCTGTGTATTTGTTATTTTCCTTCTGTTCTGGAGATTTAATGTATTTTTTCATATTGCTTGATGTTGTTGATTTGTGCCTCCGCAGAGAGATAGAGTTTAGTTGCTCCTTCCACTTGTTTCTGCTGGTGTGGTGGGGGAGCAGCTGTTTATACTGCACCAACCAGGAACCCTATCCGCAGTTGCTAACTGGGCCTGGGCCCCTCCTCGTAGTCACAGTGGTCCTTTGGATTCGCTCTTCTGCCGTGGGGGCTGTCATGGGGGGGCTTCAGGCTGCTGGTGCCTACTGTTGCGGCCCACCTAGACATGCTCCCTCCTTGGGGTCTGCAACGGTGTTATGGGCTTTTCCAGCGGCCAGGGGTAGGATCACTTATATTTGCTGCTCCGTCACTGTCGTCACCCACAAAATCTCACTTGTCCACTATGGGTCGCAGCAGAGCTATTGGCATCTTCTACAGTCTGTGGTTAGCTCACCTAGCTATGCTACTTTTGTCCCAGGGTCTTCCAGCCTTGTGGCTGCCGGATGGGTGCTCTCTACTAGTGCTGTGCAGAGGCTTTCCCTGAGGCTGCTGTGAGCCTGTAGGGTTTCCCCCTAGGCTATGGAGCTGGGTCACTGGAACTCCACCCAGCCCCAGTCCCGTTCCCCAGGAACTCGGGGAGCCCTTTGCCCTGTCTGGAGGATAGCCGGAGATCCTGATTTCAGTGGTAGCTGGTCAGCTGCTGCCCTGCCTGATATTCTCCTCTCCGGGACCCTCCCGGTGTTGTGGATGCTGGGCATAGCCCCTCCGCTAATAGCAGACAGAGAGTTTTGTCTGCTGCCCGGGCAGAACTCTGGAGCTTCCCCTCCGGGGTGCGGAGCCAGCCTCTGGAGCTTCACCCAGCCCCAGTCCTCTCCAAGATCTCCGGCAATCCCTAGCCCCACGGGGTGGGCAACGGCAGCTGGGGGTCGCCTCGCCCTCTGGGATTCTCTCCGGGACTTTCCTGGAGTTGTGAATGCTGGGAATAGCCCCTCCGCTAATGGCAGACAGAGAGTTTTGTCTGCTGCCCGGGCGGAACTCTGGAGCTTCACCCAGCCCCAGTCCTCTCTGAGATCTCCGGCAATCCTTTTCCCCACCGTGCAGGCAGTGGCAGCCAGGGCGCTGCCGTACCCTCAGTGATTCTCTCTGGGACCCTCCGGGCGCCGTGAACACTAGGCGGGATCTCCCCGCGGGCTCAGGTGTGTAACTCTAGAGTTTCCCTCTGCGTTTAGGAGTAATTGCAGGGGGTTTAGGTAGGGTTCTGGTCACCTGTTTCCACCGTCACTCCTCTGGTGTGTGCTCGCTCCTGCCCTAGGTGTGTGTTGATCTTCTGGGGGCATCCGTTGGAAGAAAGCTGCTTGCAGGTACTAGGCTGTTCAGTCGGGGTCAGAGAGTTTTCACCTATCTCCACGTCCTCCCGGAGGGAAGTCCATCCGCCTTCCGATGTATAGTCGCGTGGGTCTCTCAGACGTCCTGAGATGCTGTCTGGATATCCTTTGTTAAGCGATGAGTGTCCAAATAATTGTAGACTCGAAGGGGGAGAGACAAAGAGGACTACTCACAGCGCCATCTTGGATCCTCCCCAATAATCTCAACCTTTTAGTATGGTTGTTAGAATTTAGCAAAAGAACATTTAAAAGTGTCTTGAAATAACACCTGGCACACAGCAGGCACTTAATAAAATAAATTTAATGTTTTTATTTTAAAAAAGATAGCATTGGACTTTGACTTCTGATACAACAACTGGGTCTACCTACTTCTAAAGAAGCTCTTACTTGGAAGCCAACATTTTATGACTAGGGCTGTGGTAATAACATCCTAATTGGTCTCACCGGCTCTACTATCTCCTTTTTCAATGGCTTTCTTCTGCTTTCAAAGTTACCCTCTCACACCAGAGCATATCATTACCACATACAGTTCAAAGCTCTCCAGGACCCCTCACCAACCTACAGCAGTAGCCTCATACCTCGCTCTACCTTCCTGTACACCATGTTTGAAAATGACCAGGCGACTTGCGATTTCCCCAATGCTCCATGAACCTCCCCATTTCCACGTTACTCCTCAAGCTGTTTCGTCAATTTGGAATGCTTTTAACAAGTCTGTCTGCACAATTACCACCATTACTCAAGTTTCTTACACACCCACTCCCAGACTCCACATGAGATTAGCTTTCCTCCCTTCTAGTGGTCTGTGGCTTAGTTCAGTTCGAGTTTCACAATTCTCTCCTCTCTCCTATTTCAGTTCTCAGCTCCTCTCCCTTGTATACAAGGTTCCCAGCTCTTCCCACCTTCATCAGGATGTGTCTGGGTAAAACATTCCTCAAAAATATCTTCCACTCCTAGGGGCTGGCCCCGTGGCCGAGTGGTTAAGTTCGCGCGCTCCGCTGCAGGCGGCCCAGTGTTTCGTTGGTTCGAATCCTGGGCGCGGACATGGCACTGCTCGTCAGACCACGCTGAGGCAGCGTCCCACATGCCACAACTAGAAGAACCCACAACGAAGAATACACAACTATGTACCGGGGGGCTTTGGGGAGAAAAAGGAAAAAAATAAAATCTTTAAAAAAAAAAAAAAAAAAAAAAAAAAAATATCTTCCACTCCTTGTTCTAATTCCACATCAATCTTCTCCTTACTTATGTGATTCCCCAGGTACTTTGATACCGGGAAACAGTGTTCCCTGGAGAAGGGATGAAAGTATTCTGGTTAATGGAAAGTATTAAGCTGCACTATAAATTAATAACTTTGCATTGTAATATATATGTCAGCCCTGTGAGTAGTTTTATTTAATCTATCACCAAGAAACTGATCATCTTGAGGAAATTAATAAAGTCAAATTTTTAGGTCAGCAAGGCTAAGGCTCACAGGCTGGACTTCAGTCAGTTTAGCTAGGAAGTTCTTTATGGGAGGCCTGTTGTGGCCAACAGCCCATTACCACTCTCTTGCCACACTCCTATTTAATTCTGATAGAGAATAGGATTGATTTTTTCATAAAAGTGAGGAGAGCTATTTAGGATTTCAAAGGGTTTACTGAATCAACTCCTAAGTTGAAATAAGAATTGCTTCAACAAGTATGAAATAATGGATTTAATTTTAAAAGTTCTTCCTCTCACATGTTTTTCAGCAAGAAGATAACAGAAAGAAAATTTGTCCAATGTTGATTTGTTCTCAAGGCTGACTTCCTCGTAATAGCTGAAAATACCAAGAATAAAAATGAACCAACAGCGCTTATATTTACAAATAAAAGTACCCAGAGAAGTAAGAAATATGTTATTATGTTATCATTATTCCATCCACAATCTGACAGAAGGAATTGTGAAGGAGTTAGGAAACCAACTTTCCATTTTGGTTAAAGAAGAGAAACAGACCCTGATCATTTGTTATAACATTAATCTTAAATGCACTAATTTTTCTTTTAATATATAAAACATTTTTAAGCTCAACTTTGTAAGAAATTATTTAAATACAAAAAGGTTAACACAAACTGCTACAATTGACCAAATATTTTATGATGTTACTACGGTATGTTCAAACCCAATAAAAACAAGTTTCAAGTTAAGATTCAAGTGGGAAACATAAATAGAATTTGGTGAATATTAAGGATTTTAAATTATTAAAGAACTTTACCAAAATTGTTATTTAATTTATAGATGTTGTAGTAGATAAAATAAAGAGAAAATGTTTTAACAATTATGTGATACTTCTTTCCTTTCAGGAAAAGACAAATTTCTCTTTACAACCCAGGTATTATCTTAAAATTAAGTGATTACAGTAAAGACAACAATTTGACTTCTAAATTAACCCCAGATGTTGTTTCACTTTTTCATAAGCCACACAGCTGAAGCCTACTGCAGGCAGCACCTTTATGATGTTTGGGGTTAGACCCCTGAAAAATCCTCGTTTTCCTTCTTTGTTATATATATCCTGAATGTGCTGAATGATAGAAGCTGTTGTTCCTTTTTCTTCCAGTGCTATAAGCTGAAAAAAATCAGTGCAATTCAATATTTAATCTTTATACATTAAGATAGTTCAACGATTAATGAGAATTTACAGAGGTTAAAACTACTTCAGGGGATACCTCTCTTCCTACCTATAGAACAGTCCTGTGCTGTCCAGTACGGTAGCCACAAGACACATGTTGCTATTTACGCTTAAATTAATTAAAATTGAGTAAAACTAAAAATTCAGTTTCTCAGTGGCACTAGCAATACTTCAAGTGCCCGACAGCCCCGTGTAACTAGTGTTGTATGAACAGCACAGATAGAAAATATTTCCATCATTGCAGAAAGTTCCATTAGACAGCACTTGAAAGTCTTTCACAAGGGACCGCAAAGGAGCACTAGGAATTGGGTACGACATAAATAGTTTGATAGGGGCATGGAGGGGTGATGGATGGATAGAGAGACTCCCCAGCTGGATTGCAATATAAATTAAATCTAAAGATCTTACTAAAAAGAGGAGGAGAAAAAGAATGTAAAAGAATATCATTTACCACATGACCCCTTAAACATTTACTCAGGAACATAATAATAGGATTATGTGGGGTTTTTCCTTCTTGAAAAGTGATAAAGATATTTTCTTAAAATCTAAATTCCTAAATTTCACTTGAGAGGAACAAAGTAGATACCTTTCCTTCTGCTTAATATCTCCTTGCTAATTGGATTGGAATACAAAACAATTGCACTCAATTCCACAAATGTATTAAGTTCCTGATGCAGAATACAACAACGATAGCAGAGCCAGAGGAAAATCACGTGTTCATATTGAGTAACAGTTGACCTAATTTGAAGAAAGCGAAATCTTTTCTATTGTTCTGCATGGTACATCCTAACTGTAAACTCCTTAAAGAGATCATCAGTGACTGAAGGAAATGTGAAGAGTTCCAAACAGAACTTTGGAGGAGAAATAAAACCTAAAATTCACAAAAGGTTCTACAATGAAACAATAAATTCAAGATTCATGCTTTCTTTAAAAATCAGAGTTAGCTTTTGATTTATTTATGAATTCTACAGTTTTTCTGTTTTTAAAATCATTAATTTCTACTCATTTAAAACAACTTAGTTATTTTAACTTTTTTAACCTAGTTTTTATTCTTTCATTAAAGTTATTTTAATAACTTTTTAACTTGGTTATTACTTCACTTAAAAAAACGCAACACCTCACCTTGAGCCTGTATGCGAGTTCTAATAAGGTTGAGAGGGAAGCTGGCTATCTGACCACAAGTGTGAGCCAACGTACTACAGCCCAGCAAAACCACTATCCCAGGGTCTACAGAGTCTCCTGCAGAATTTTCTAGCCAGTAATTCTTCGAACGCTGGTAGAGAAGAGAGTAGTAAATATCCTTTAACTATGATGCAAATCTAAGTAGAATAAAGTTCGTTGCTCACTCAATTTCAATAAACATTATTAAGTAGCTTCTTGATTCAAGAATTGCACTGAGCGCTTTCACAGATGTTACTCATTTAATTGCTACAGAAACTTGACAAGTCAACATGGTTGCTCTATTTTATACATTTTATAAATGAAGAAACTAATTCAGAGAGACAAAGTTATCAGGTCACCAGGGTGATAAATGGAAGTCGAACTTGGTCATTTGACTTTAATAACTGTTCTCTCCAAAGTCTTCACAGAAGATTGTTCCTACTCCGTGTACTGAGGGGGCTCTCCCTGCTGTCCTATCTGGGTCAGGGCACACAGATGTTTTCAGATAAACATATTCATACAACCTCAGTTCGAACTCTCCTAGTTTGTGTCTCTGAGTGTGTTTTGCTTATTTTGTTTTTTGTTTGTTTTGTTTTGCTTGATTGTTTTGGTTTGTACTGATATTCAAAGATGTGCCCAAAATTCTGGAGACTCTCAGAGGAATTAACAGATTATTGTAGAGAAGACTGCATAATACACTCTAAATTAACAGAACCACATTTTCTCAACTTTTAAGAAAGATTAATCTCCTCAAATTTGCTGTTCTTTGAATAAAAGCGGCTAGGAGAAATTATTTGGAAATAGTGGGTTTAAAATATCACTAGATGCTCTTAGAATTGTTCATTTATTAAAGAACACAAATTCACACTATATACTGGGGCAATTACTATGAAACGTATGATTTGATGCTTTTGAAAAAACAAATTTCAAAATGTCTTTATTCAGTGTACATTTATTACAGTCATGCAACAATAAAGAGAGAAATGTGTCATGTCACCCTAGCGGCAAAGCAGAAGATGTTGAACTGTAGAAATAAAAGAAGGAGGGAGCCCAACATTAACAGAAGCAATGAATTACTTTAATAAAACCACAGAAGCAAGAAAACAAAAAGGAAAAGGAATGCATGCTATACTATTCAATACTTTGAACTTCTACAAAAAATATAAGCACAATTTTTTTAAGTGCTAAATGAAATTGGCTATCTTTCACATGATGGTGGTACCACTTGCCAAAAATACCACTGGGCCTGTGCCTTGAGAACTGTTCTTCCTGGACTGAGGATGAATTTAAGTTACTCTAGTCATATACTCTCACCTCATTCTTAGGACCCCATGGTATATATTGTTGAGACAGTCTACCTGAAACGGATATATGGTCATAAAAACGAAATGATCAGCTGAAAGGTGAGTAACCTGGAATCCTGCCTGATGAGCACCATACTATTAGGATATTTGCCCTATCTCCATGCTGCCCCTCCTCCTGTAACCCCCAATTACTCCTCTCCTCAATCCTCATTTTCACAACTGCGCAATAATATCTCAGTTTTTTCAATCTTATCTGTACATCACATTCTTCTAGGGAGTTAAAAAACCTGAACCCCAGGACTCTCCCCAGAATAATTCAACCAGAATATCTTGGCATGTAGCCCAAGAATCTTATTTTTTAAAGATCCAGACACAGGTGATTCTGATATGCATCCAGAGTCGAAAACTACAATCTTACCAGCATTTAGGTCTATAATTATTATTACCAAAAACTAATTCACAAAAAAACAAACAAAAAATTATTATTAGAATACCAGACAATTAACATATAAAATTAAATGCCAAACAAAACCATTCAATTCACTTCTTGGTCAGAAACTATTTCATGAAATTCATTTATAATCAGATTTTTAGAATAAAAGCTTATTATTATACCAAATTTTCAAATCTAACATATAATGTCGTATTATGAGAATAAACTCACCTCAAAAACGGCAAGATGTATGCCTGCACAAGATATGATACCTGGCAAGTTAGGAATATAACCTTTGTAAAAGGTTCTAACACCTTCTTGTTTCAGAAGCTTCTTGCCACAATCAATAACCCCTGAATACTGTCCAGTTTTACCTACAGCCAGTCTGGTCTTTAGAACCTAAATGTGAAAGAATATAATAAAAACATATTGCTCAGATTCACTCAACTCATCTAGCTATCCAATAAGTTGCATTATATCACAATGTTCACTAATTATCAGAGAAATCAAAAAAAGAAAGCAATCATAAACATATTTTTAACTTCTCACCAATTGACTCAATTATGAACAACTGATACAGTACAGAGTTTTTCAAATTACTTAAATAGGAAAATATAATTAATCATTGTGGCTTTGATTGATACATCTACTCAAACTCCTTTGGTGTGCTGTAAGGCAACATATTCTTAAAGAAATTCATTTGAGATAACACTATTGCTTCAAAATAAAGCAACTATAGCCAAAACCCAAGTTTAAAAAAAAGCATATGGTCATGTTAAAGGGAAGGACCAATATGAAGAAAACATTCTATATATGCTCAAAATACATACCCTGGGAACAATTATAACAGTGAGGCCTATAAACTGTAATTTAATATGACGGGCTCATTTTGTGCTCATAAAGCACAGTCACGAGCCACAACATTTTGGTCAATGGTGGACCACAACAACGGTGGTCCCATAAGATTAGTACCATATAGCCTAGGTGTGTAGTAGGCTATACCATCCAGGTTTGTGTAAATATCCTCTATGACATTTGCACAATGACAAAATCACCTAATGATGCATTTCTCACAACATAGCCCCATCATTAAGCGATGCATGACTGTAGGCTTCAGGGCTATGAGGGCAATAGCAGGCTTCAGCAGGTTGTCTGTGATCAGTATTCCTATATTCAAGGTATATTCTGCTGATAAACCTCACTCCTTGTCCTCTTAATTTCCATTAGTTTAATTTAAGGGAGCTCTATATATACTTGAAGAAATGGCTCTCTAAAACAGCCAAGACAAAAACAGTAAATACTTCATCTTAATTGGTAGACTGTGTCTCTTGATGGAGCTGCCTCTGAGTAGTCAGTTGGGAGCCCTTGGTTTTATGAACTTCTCTGCAGGACCCCACCCTTTGGATAATCCATTCTTAAAACCGTCTGTCCTCTCCAGGGCAGTGCATTTTCTTCTTACCCAAGTAGGTCTTTTCTGTCTGCCTCACTGGCATGTTTTTTCCCTCTTACTCCTTAAATTAAGGTCTTCTCAAGAGTTTTCTTCTCAGCATTGAAAAAGAAAAAACAAAACCACTACTTTTTTCTAAGCAATCTCACGGCTTTAAGTAACACTTCTTTGCAGATGACACATCAAGACTTGAAACCTCTCAAATCTCAGTATCACATCTGCTGAAAATCACAACTTGGTTGTCCATCAGCAACTCAAACGCAAACCTGAACTCATCATCTCTCAGGGTCTGGCTCACTTCCTCCGTTCTCTGTCTCTGTTAGAGACATAACCCAGACATAACTCTCCTAAACACTTAGACACAGAACCCAGATATAACTTCACCTTCTTCCCTTCCCTTTCTCCTGCTTTCCACTTCTCAAGTTGTCGGTTCTGAAGACAGCTCTAACATGAATCAATTTCCCCTAGTCAATAAGATATTTCAAGCCCTTATTATCACTTTCCTGACTGATGGCAATATCTTGTATCTAGTCATCTCATTTCTCTAGCCTCTCCCAATCTAAAAAATTTTACCAAGATTGTATTTCAGGCTCCAAAGTCTTTACGGCTTCTTATTTTTTAAGAAATTAAAATTAAAATTTTTAAGCTGCATTCAAGAGCCTTTCTCATCGGGCCCCGACTCATTATCCAATACCATGGATAGGCCACACCTAAATGCTACCTGCTCTTTTACCTCCATGCTTTTGCTCCAGTTGTTATTTCCACCTAAAATGCCCTTCCCCAGCATCTCTGACTGTCCAAATTCTAAGCCAAACTCCACATTCTGTTCATGTCTTTCATGAAATCCCTAACTGGAAATAATCTCTCCGTCTGAATTTCCATAGCACTTTATATTGATCTCTCTTCTAGAGTTTATATTTTCTATTTTGGATCATCATTATTGATGTTCATGTTTTATCTCCCCTTCTAGACTATAAGCTCCATGACCAAAATGTCTATCTGTCTCGTCTCTGGATCTAGAAAAGTACCTTAAATTTAGTGGGTATGCAATACAAATCCGATTTGATTAATAAATAAGGGATTCTATCAATCAATTAAACAATCAATCAATGAAACTGTTTAGCTTCTTGGTACATTTACAATACTACCTTTATCCTAAACAAACAAAAAAAAGCTACTAAGGACAACCAACACTTGATATGAGATTTAAATCCTATAGCTATAAAGCTTTTTATTGCACAAAATCCTAGTCGGTAATTCATTTATCTTTAAAAAGTTCTAACTTGCATCAAAAGCATTACTTTAGTTAAAATTTTATACTAATACGTACCTCCATGGGGTAAATACAAGTCTGGGTAGTTACACCAGCCTATGAGCCAGATATAAATCTCTCAATAACTCCTATTTTAGCACCATCAAAACTAAGCCATTTCTTATACTGTATAAATAAAGGTATTGAAATGTATGTTACTGAAATGGAATATATATAGTTTCTAAGTTTGTAACATTAATTAGTAGCATAAAATTATTTGAAAGAGTAGTCCAGACACCCGACATTAGCATCTAGTAGAATAATTGATTTTAATTTTTATGCAATTAATTGTCTAAGATAATAAGTAAGACCCCTCTATTTGGTCTCTGTTTTCCTTCTTGTTCTGTAGAATAAGTTAGCAACATCAAGTCACGTAAGCATATTCATGAATGTAGTATGTCCAAAAGGGCATGCAAATGACACAAAGGGGGCAGGGACTGTATCTTTTCTCTCTTTTTAGCCCCACTCCTTACACAGGGAAGGTACTTAATATCTTTTGGTTACTGGATAATCAGAAATAGGAACTTAATGTGAGAGCCTTTTTTTGTTACAAGGAACAACAGTTGACTCTCGTTAGCTCAAGTAACAGGGAGGTTATTGCAACAACACATGAGCAAGTAAGGAAAACAGAACTATCAGCCTAAAGGTCAGGCTTCTCAGAAACTAAAGTAAGTCAAGTTTCATGGAGATGGAAAACTGAAAACTCATTTAGGATCCAACATGGCCTTAGCAAACAGACTATCTTGTTACTTCCCTAGGCAAGATGTTTTTCCGTTTGCCTTTTCTAGTGGTCTATCATCAATATGATTCAGCTACTGTCTACGAACTAACTCTGTTCTCATATCATTAACTCCCCGTCAGAAACGATTGGTTCAGTCAATATGGCAGAGATGGCTATCTGTTCCCAGTACCTGTTATCTTCTTTCTTTTAGTAACAGAGCTGACTCAGCTACAAACTACATTTCCCTCTTCTGCCTTACAACTAGGTTGTCTGGCTAAGTGACTAGTTTTGGCCAATGAGATATGAGGGAAGTTGGGTATGCAAATTCTGAGACATCTCCTTAAAGATGCTTGTCCTGGACTCCTCCTTCCTTGACCTGGGAAATGGCAAAGACAGGTGCAACCTTTGAAGCCATGTATTGAAGACAGCAGATCTGTACAGTTAGCCCTGGATCACTTGCCTCTATCCTATTTAAGCTACTGTATTTTGGAATCTCTTTGTTACAACAGCTTTGAATGAACCCTAACAAGTACAGAAATTGGTAGGGTGCTGCCATAATAAAACCTAAAAGATGCATCACTGGCTTTATTGTTAGGACACAGATACTACAGTCTAAGAAGGTGATGGCCTTTCTCAAGCTTTGTGGAAATGCTTGATAAAACTTCCTGTGGGCTAACTTGGAAGGTAGACTGTGTGCTTATTGAGCCTGAAGTTCCGAGAAAACTGACTGCAAAATCCCAGAATGTTGGTCAGTGTTGCCAGCTCCTTGCTGCTTCGAGCAAGATTTATGAGACATGAGCTAAAGCATCTCTCTGCTTTTCTGCCTCAAGGCCTTCTCCAAAGCCAGTGTGCAAGTAGACGGAGGGGATTAGAGCTCTGCTAAGGAGATTTTCTTCGCCTGGCTTGATAATCAAGAAATGCAGGGCTTCCGAATTGGAAGAGCCACCTGCTTCCATACCCCAAACGAAGGAAATAAGATTGTCCTAAAGAGCTTGCCTATCTGCAAAAATCAGATTAAGGGTGTTGTCATCTGATTTAAGCCTATTGTTTCCAGTTGACATGAATGTAGCCTGCTATAAAAATGAGAGACAGAGGGAATAACTGAGCAAAGGAGCTAGAAAATAAAATATCAGAAGAGAGATTTTTAGATGTCATTACTTCACAGGGTATTGACTGGAAGCAGACCAGAAATGTAAGAAGTTTTTGAAAGAACTGTATTGCTAGAAAACCCATAAGCCTAGCCTACAGAATCCTGTGCCTCACTGATCTCTAAAGCAACTCTCAGGCCCCCAAACCTAAGCACACCATGGCAGACTCTTCGAGAGCCCAGCATCACATCTGGACAGTTCTGTGCAGCCTCACACTGACAGAGCCCCATCTACAGCAAAAGCCTCTCACCTCTCTACTTTTCTACCTCAGGCCTTCTCCAAAGCTATGGGAGCTTGTCCAGCCCAGAAGTCTTGGGAAGTTAAAGTTCCAAGAGCAATCCTCATATAATATGGGATAGGAAATGGTAGATAAATGCCTCAACTCCTTTCCTTCAGACAGACAATTCTGGGAGCTATTCTGTACACTTCTTAGATGTTCCAGCAGAATCAAGTGCCTCCTGCCTACAGCCGAAGCCTCATTTATGTACCTTTATCGGCTTTTCTTCCTTCCATGTCTCACTGTCCCCGTTTCCTCACTCCTGCTTCTTCCCTAATAAACTCCCTGCACCCAGACTCTGCTTTGGGGGAATCCAAACTAAAACAGTTGGTGCCACTTCAAAAGTGGTCCTATGCACCCAGTAAAAGGCAGAGATTGTCAGAGTGGATCAAAAAACGAGACTCAACTACATGTTGTCTACAAGAAACCTACTCTTTAAAAATTGAGGTATAATTGACATATAACATTATATTAGTTTCAGGTGTACAACATAC